GTATGTGGGTTCCTGTTTCTTCACATCCTTACCAATGTTTGTTTTGTCTTTTTTATCTAGCCATCCTATTTGGTATGAAAGAGTCCTCTGGATGTACTTCCAGACCATCAACTTGGAAGCCCTATGGAGCACTGTTTTACTTTGATGCCACCTGGGACCCTTCTGAGTTGGAATCATCTCTGGGCCAACTGGTCAGTGGTTGTGATGCATCTTATGGTGGTTTTCATTGGTGGTTTCATCCTCTTTCTTCTTTGGAGAAATGTGTGTTCAAGTTCCATTGTTCCCATTTTGTTATTTGACTATTTTTTTAAAAGTATGAATCTGTGCTGCAATCCCAAAGATACGTGGTTCAAGTCCCCCAGCTGCTCCGTGGGAGTAAGATGAGGCAGCCTGCTAGCACCTATAAAGGCTTATGGCCTGGGAACCGTGTAGTTCTACTCTCTCTGACAGGGTTCCTATGACTAGAATCAACAACAACAGATAGCTACACATGAATCAATAGAAACCAGAGACGATTAAAAAGAAATCTATATAGGCTTTAGGTATCAAAATTGTCAGTTACAGGTTATTGAAATCATGACACTGAGTGGTGTTTAAGTGAATGAAAGGCATGTTTGAAAATATTTGTTGGTAATAGTAGTGAAAACAGCTGGTTGAAAAGATTATAATGTGCCTGGGGCCCTCATTGTTCGTATCACCTCACTGGCAACTAGTGATATTATGCTATGAACCAGTTGTTGTTATTGTGTACTGTTGAGTCAGAACTGACCCATAGCTGACCCTCCAGTGGGTTTTCAGATGTAGTTAATCACAAAGGAAGATATTGCCCATCCTTCTCCTGCACAGCAGCTGGTGGATTCAAACCATATGCTTTGGGGATCACAGAGCAGCTTCTTACCACTAGACCACCAGAGCGCCCCACCTGTGGATATTGTTTGTTATTGTTGTGTACCGTTGAGTGAGAACCGACTTATAGCTGACCCTCCAGCAGGTTTTCAAAAGCAGAAAAATCACACCAGAGAAGATTTCCCATCTTTCTCCCATAGGGCAGCTGGTGGATTTGAACTGTGTGCCTTTGGGATTGCAGTGCAGATTCTTGCCACTGTAATCCAGAATACAGGAGAAAGCTGGGAGGTAGAGATCAAATAAGATTTTCTGTGAGTTCATAATTGTTTAATCTGGATAACACTATAATATATATAGGATATACTT